TATTTGTGGAATGAAAGGTAGAGCTGTATAACTGTAATGCTGAATGATGGACAGAGCTGTACAACTGAAGTGTTGAATGAAGGCTAGGACTGTATACTCTATTTGTGGAATGAAAGGTAGAGCTGTATAACTGTAATGTTCAATGATGGACAGAGCTGTACAACTGAAGTGTTGAATGAAGGCTAGGACTGTATAATCTATTTGTGGAATGAAAGGTAGAGCTGTATAACTGTAATGCTGAATGACAGCTGTATAATATATATGTAGAATAAAGGGTAGAATATTACAGTTCATGTTTTGAATTAAAGGTAAAATGGTACATGTGATGTGTTGAATAAACGGTAAAACGGTACATGTGATGTGTTGAATAAAAGGTAAAACGCTATATTATATGTGTTGAATAAAAGGTAAAACGGTATATTTGATGTGTTGAATAAACGGTTAAACGTTACATGTGATGTGTTGAATAAAAGGTAAAACGCTATATTATATGTGTTGAATTAAAGGTAAAACGGTATATTTGATGTGTTGAATAAACGGTAATACGGTACATTTGATGTGTTGAATAAAAGGTAAAACGCTATGTTATATGTGTTGAATAATAGATAGTAAAACGGTATATTTGATGTGTTGAATAAACGGTAATACGGTACATTTGATGTGTTGAATAAAAGTTGAAACGATATCTTTGATGTGTTCATAAAAGGTAAACTGACACTTTGATGTGTTGTGATGAAAACCCTTTCATAGAGCTTCGAATGCTGACTTTGGGACATCCAACATCATGTACAGTCATGGAAATTATTACTCATGAAGGAGGCAGAGATGGTGACAAACATATCAACATGGTAGCGAATGAATCCAAACTTGTATTCCAGATACAGTGTATTATTTAGGAACTTGCTTGTCGTAGAAACCGGAGTTGAGGATCGGACGATTTCAGTGTTGGGCCTATGTTGGGCCTAAGCTAATGTATTCCGACGGCGAAGAAGGTTGATGATAGTGTTAGCCATTATTGCTGACTGTGGGTTTGAATAACTAACCCAATAACTCACTCATTCACTTCAAGAGACAGATAGACAACTCATTGGATTCTTTGTTCGTTGTTGCTTAATATTCTTCTTTCCCTCATGGGAGATCGGATAGAGAGTGTTAGATATCCCGTAATGCTCCCTGTCATTACAACTCTCACAGTACCTCTGCTGCAGGAAGCCGCTATGTGATGAGTCTTCACATCTTACACAGTCCTTTCTTGATTTTGCAAGCATTTTGAATCTGGTTCATTTTTGACGAGTCTACACATTTAGATAAACAGGTAGTAGAATTGTTAATTGTCTTTGAGAACGTATCCTAAAATGGGGAAACTATTTCAGCATTGTCATTATCTTTTCTTTACGTTTGTGATGCGGCTCCACCACCGACGACAGTGTCTTTATATATACATAGGCAAGGTGAAGGTAAACAGAACAATAACAAGTTGAGAGGAGGTTTCAGCTCGTAAAACAATCCAACACAATCTAACACAATCCCACATATGTCAAACATGTAAAAGTTGTCTTCTTATGATAAAAGATGCTCTGATCACATAAACACAATGGCATAAGCTACAGGGCAAAAGAAAGTTATCACCGACTTAACATAAATAGAAACAAAGACGCATGTGATATTTATGTTAATTATTTTAAAAACAGAAATCATTTTCCAATAATTTGACTTCATAATAGCGAGTGTGACATCCCTGGGCATCCATACACGCCAACACACGTCTCCATATTGACGTCGTGAGTCGGCGGATGACGTCAGCAGGAATCCTGTTCCATAAGTCCAAGAGAGTCTGTTCAAGTTCTTCACCTCTCTGGAGGTGGTAAACGCTGTCTCAGCTGACGAGCAAGATGTTCCCAGAGATGTTCACTGGGGTTCTTGGGGCCTTGTGATGTCGTGCTGCAAAATGACTCCTCTTGTTTGTCTACTAAAGGGCAGCACAAAAGGTCTCAACACTTTATCCCTGTATCGCTGGTCATTGTTGTCCTCTGACCACAAATGCCTCCCCATACCATGACGTCTTCTCTATCGAACGGATGAACTTCTTGAATGCAGTTAGGCGCCAGTCGCTCTCCTCTACGTCGAAAACCTCGAACTCTGCCATCGTTCTGAACCGACTTTCATCTGTAGATAGCACTCTCTCCCAGTCACTTCGCTGCCACCGACGTAGAGTTCGTGCCCATTGCAGTCTGCGTTGACGGTGTAGACAGGTCAAGGCCATTCCACGGAAGGGGCGATAGGCCCTTATATCCGCCATACCAAGTCGTCGAAGGACTTCGTCTGCTGATGGCGTGTCCTAGTGCTGTCGCCGCCGTTGAGGTCGCCGTCACGAATCTGTTCCGGTGGTGGATCTGCCGGATGTAGCGGTCTTCGGCCGGTGTCATGACTCTTGGTCTTCAGATCTTGGGCGGTCTTGGGTCTGGCCTGTTTGTTGGTAGCGGTTTATCAATTTGCTAATGGTGTCGTGGGTGCAGTTGAAGGTTCTTGCCAGCTGACGTTCTGAAGCTTTCATTTTGGCCATACCAATCGTCCTGTCTCGTTGAGCTTTTGGTTAGTGCATGCTTGCTGTGTTCAACATCGGTATCTATTCCACAAAGCCCCACAATTACATTTTTCACGTTTTGAAAAAAAGCACGAATGTCGAACACCTGCTGTACTATCGGCACCATGTTGCGTTTTGGCGAATGGTTTCTGCTTGGTTTCAAACCTGTACCAGCGTGTGTTTTTCATACCATTACTTTATAAGTGATAACTTTTTTTTGCCTGTAGTTTATGTTAACAAATACCCAACTCCATCTAAATTGAATATGAGCCCTTATATGTTGTGAGATTCAGAACTAAACCTGAGGAAATCTAGGCTTGCTTCATTTAGAGATTTTGCATCACAGTAAGGGCTGGTTGAAGCAGGTGAGTCAACACATACACTGTACTTGAAGTACAAGGACAACGGAAACACTTATAGAATAGGTCTAGAATTGAAAATTAGCCACCGAGGTCTCCATCAGCGTTCGAAATTAACGTCGGTCCTTTGGCCCGAAGCCCACTGAAAATCACACGGACCCCCAACTTTTGTTTTCTGCAGTTCCTTATGACCCACAGCTTTTTCATCCCCAATAACTATAAGAGTATTATTGTTCAGAAAATATCAATCAGTTATTTCTAGTTTTTATCTCGATCAGCAGCTGTTGTGTGTAAGTGAAACGACTATCATTTTCGAGGAAGCAATGGAGCAAATGTTGTCACATTTTTTGTTTGCTGGGAATTACTTATATTGTAGCTTTAATATAGGGCCCACACATTCTGATCAGGACCCATGACTTTTTATAGTTCTGGTCCTTAGGGCCTGCAGATTTTCAAGGTTAAGGGCAAACACTGTGTGTATGTCATTGTTAGTACAATAGGCTTGAGGCCCTTCTGATGTTATGAACAAACTATTACACATTTTAAGGTTGATGTGATTATTAATGTAAATACGTTTAAAAGAATTTGAATTCATCCTTCGACAAAACGAAAATCATCAGGATTATTCTTTTCAAATTGTTTTATTTGTCTCAATAAGAATAAAACACTGCATATATCTCCTGATCCAGTTCCCCAGATAGGACGAGGACTATTCTCAATACGTATATCCTCTACAAACAAATGAGAGATACGTCAACTGATGGGGGATAAAATATAAATATTGTAGAAATTGATCATCGATGTAACTATGACATTTCTAGACCAACGATAGATACACGAGGCTGTTCCTCAACATGTCAACGTGCACGGGACTTAGCTCATATTGTTGATGAAGAATAAGATGAGTCCAAACCTCTTGTTCTTTGAACAAATACACTTACAATCAGAAATATGTCAAGCGGCGGCTCAAGCCAAATCCAGGAAGCATGTTCCTTCTTGTGTGTCTGTACACAAATATTTAGCAGGCGTACGCGCGGACGTCGGAGAGAGCATCATCTTCCGGACAAGTACAGCTGGGTGATACTAATGTCTGGCAAAGAAACCAAAGTGTATATCTGAACAAACGGAAGAAGACCCGATCAGCAAAATAACTACTAAACCAAAGCGGATGGTGTAAGCGCGGATAGGTACCACCAAATATTCACATTCAGATCTGCACAATTATTGAAGAGGCAAAAATGCCATAAATAAATGAGAAATATCTACAACTATACTAGAAAATCCCGCTGAAGCGTGAAAATCAAAGTTACACAAACATTCTCAGTGCATGAATAAGGTCGCACTCATATATGAGATAAACATATATAAAAATCCAAACATGAAAACAGAAGGCGATTATACAGCTGGAGAATAAAATTTACGAGTCAAAAGTTTTCTAACAATAAATGCTGAACACTGGAAGATGACGACGCCGGACTTTGACGAACGGTGATGAAACAGGGAAACTAGACCGTAACTTGACTGGTTTGATGATCCGGTAACACAAAGCTATTCTGCTACCTTGGCTTGGACAAACACGAGTGAGTGAAATCCGAAACATAACAATTTGTTTTACATTTTTACGTTTGAGCGACATACGAGTGGCAGTGGGAATACTGAAGGTGTTCTACAATACATATATACATATACGTCATAGAAGTATGACGTTCTGTATTTATTACATACCCTTGTCATGACACTCTGTTTTCATGTAACTCTAAACGTGAGTGAGTGAGTGGGTTTAGTTTTACGCCGCACTCAGCAATATTCAAGCTATATGGCAGCGGTCTGTAAATAATCGAGTCTGGACCAGACAATCCAGTGATCAACACCATGAGCATCGATCTACGCAATTGGGAACCGATGACATGTGTCAACCAAGTCAGCGAGCCTGACCACCCGATCCCGTTAGTCGGCTTTTACGACAAGCATGGGTTACTGAAGGTTCATTCTAACCCGGATCTTCACGGGTCTCTAAACGTCACTGTTGAAATCTGAGGTTATCGTGACATGGGCATTACTCATTAGACATCCAAGGGATGTATTACATAGGTAAATGTGAATCACATTCCTTTGTCTCCGCCTCATCAATCGAGCTCCAGGTTCTGACCAAGAAAACAAAATGCCCTAAATAATGTCTAAATTTAGATGTTTACGTAAAGATCCGAGTACTGCCGAACAATCGAAAAAGTATATCCGGCATCCGTGCGGAGTTCACGTCCGTATTCCACGTCCGTTTCATAAGATTAAATGGGTATGTAATAAATTCGTACATCGGTACTATGTTAATCCTGGCCTGCAATGGCCATGGTGTGGAACCTAGTGTCACTATAGCGAGCGATGGTTGAATAATCTCTGTTCAGCACCACCATTCTGAAATAGACAAAAGTATTTATTCCAGTAGTTCATTATTTAACGGCTTCTTTCCAAATTGAAATGCAAGGGTTGAAGTCGGTGTTTTAAAACCAGATACAGCGCTTTGAATGTAGAACAGACCAAAGTTAGATTTTATTTGGCTTGTTGGTTTATTGGTGAACACCGCACCCAACAATATTACAACTATATGGCGGCGGTCTGTCCGGACCACACAATCCAGTGAGCTTGGATCTACGCAATTTGGGATACGATGACATGTGTCAACCAATTGCAAGTCAGTGAGCCTGAGCACCCGATCCCGTTAGACGCCTCTTACGACATTCATATGTTGCTGAAGACCAATTCTAACCGGGATCGTCACGGGTGCGAATACCTTGTATCATCACTAGTTGAGAGTGATTGATAAACACATTCATAAACACATACGCATTACATGGTTGAAGTTCTGAAAATGACTGGGACGGTGGGGTTGCCTGGTGGTTAAAGTGTTCGCTCGTCACGCCGAAGACCCGGGTTCGATTCCCCACATGGGCACAATGCATGAAGCCCATTTCTAGTGTCCCCCCGCCCTGATATTGCTGGAATATTGCTAAAAGCGGCGTAAAAGTAAACTCAGTCAGTCAGTCTGAAAATTACTATCGTATGATATTTAAAATGATAGTTTAGGTGGAAGCAGTCTCCAATCATAGATAAGACAAAAACAATTCATTGGCGATGACAATCAACAGAAACTGTTCACTGTGTGTCGTATCGGTGCTAACGACCGGAAATGACGTCAGTGGAGTATCGTCCAAACAAGAACGTTGAGACAACGATTTGTCGGATATTCGTTCTTATGGCGTGGCATCATCCGAATCAGTCCCTCAATGACATCCTTCTTTAAGTGGCATTTCAGAAGCTGGTATGATGAAGAGGAATTGTTTATGAAGGTGTAGATTATAACGGTGTTGGGATCTACACCGAAACGTTGCATCCATTGCAATAAAGAAGCTGTCTATCCATAAAAAGTGTTCCTCTTCCCCAATGAAAAGTTGAGGGAGTCTCTACCCGTCATCTTTCAGAGCCTGGCCTTGGCGAACGTAGTGGATACCCTTTGCCGTCGGCATACAAGCATATTTTGATCATGGCGAACGTAGTGGATAACCCCTTGCCGTCGGCATACAAGTATTTTGATCATGGTGAACGTAGTGGATAACCTTTGCCGTCGGCATACAAATATTTTGATCATGGCGAACGTAGAGGATACCCTTTGCCGTCGGCATACAAGTATTTTGATCATGGCGAACGTAGTGGATACCCTTTGCCGTCGGCATACAAGTATTTTGATCATGTCACAGACGTTCACTGAGGAAGAAAGCTCAGGATCTGCGCCCAAGCACTGCTTTGCTGCGCGAGGTTGTCAGTAACGCTTCGTGCACGGTGAACACGAGCGTCTTGTGCATATAATACACAAGTATTAACGCCATTATATTGTCTCGGGACTTTGGTCAAACGACTCTTGCCTGGACATTATACAGTGGCGTTCTTGCAATAATACTGATTCCATCCCATATCAATACACCCCTAGACCCCAATACGTCATTTTGCATAACGTTGAAGAATCCCATGACGTTCGTTAGAACGCTTCAGACACGTCCACGCATATGGTAAATTTAACTTATTATCATTCTTATAATTTTCACACTGTGTCCAATACTAGCTCATGCAACAAAACAGCTAATATGCACAAACGTGTACACTGAAATGCCATGAGATGGAACTCACCCATTGTGGTCCATCAGTATCCAATGTTCCCTTGTGCGCAGCATGCCTTTCAATACACCAGGTAGCTCTCTGTTTATGACCGAGGTACCATTGGGCAGGAAAAGTCCAACTTTCTTGCCGGACACGAACCTCAGTGTATTGTCTTCAGTAAACAAATACAATATAATATGGGAATTACGCATTCAATGTCTAGTTTTATATCTGAATCAAACACATGTTTATATGTAGGTAATTCATCATAAGACGTTAAGTTTTCTTCAGTGCTTTCAATGCATTCTCAAATTTAGTAGTAAGTATGTCTTAAGTTAACAAGTTGTCTAGTTTGATCTTTCTTGAAGTTTTGTCCATTGTCTCAATTATTTTAGCAAATATGTCTTAAGTTAAAGGTCACATGCAACGTAAAACACAACTTTGCAGATTCTGATACCTTTTCGGTATGGACTTACCGAAAAAAAGCGTCAAAAATGCAAATTCAACTTATAAAGTTGAAAAATAACGCGATGAAAAAAAACGCGCGAAATCGGAGTTCAAACGTTTCACTAATTTTCCCCAGACTTTTCTGGGGAATACGGGTTTCAACAGCTGGCTGCGCTCATAGCACGTGCGCAGTGAAATAGGTTCGGGCAACTTGGAAGCGGGCTGTCTGGTGAATACTCAGTGAAGGCTTTGGTGTGAGCTAGTTTCATAATGTTTTGTTGATATCTCACAGGCGCGAGCTTTTTGTATGTTATGACAGTAAATAAACGGTTTATATAATTTCATTTGTCTATTTCACCACACGTTCTTCTTACCGAGTCACTTTCTCAGTTCGATACTTAAAAGCAATGTCATTATTTAGAGTTGACACGATTTCTAACTGTGATATAGATATGTCGCTGTCACAGACAAAACTCAATGTCTTGTTTTATTGACACCAGTGTGTCTGCCTGCCTGTCTGCTAATGACAATATTCAATACACAACTACGATCACTGACCACATGCAATTTGAACTTAACACCAATCAGGCTATACACCATAAACAAAACACATTGATTTATGGCCCGAGTTCGGTCTCTGTCACATTATGTAATTACACAGACATGCAGGTGTGATACTTGAACACATGACATGTTATGATGTCTGTTGATTGCAAAATGTTTTACACAAAAAATGAGCATGTATTTACAAAACCCAACTTTCTATATCAGGCCCTCCTATCTATTTGACTAAAAAGAAGCATTATTGGATGTAAAGTAAACTATAATGTGTGTTTAGCTACCACATGCGAAGGAATAGCATTAAATGTGTTATGAATGCAGCAACTATCGCTGTAAAAGCGGTTGGCATCGGAAGCACTATACACCCGCTATTGGAACCTAAAGCATCGGCAGCCGAAAACTTTCGGTCATCTCCGATAATTTCCGCTTTTCGCCGAACAACGCCAACACTTCCTGTCGTCATTCAACTACGATCGGTTTTTCACGGATACAGTCGAAGTTATTCCGCTGCATTTTACCGAGTTTCGCATAGCGGCTGTACGCGTATTCCGCTAACAGCCGCTGTCAAATCCGATAGTACCTCTTTTTGTTCGTATATGAACTGCATTAGATAGCAATACAGACGCTATGCTACCAATACGCCATCATTATGATCTCATTTAACGCCTTTTCATCACATAGATAGGAGGGCCTGTATATATACACACACAATGACCCGTGAAGGCGGCATCTGCTAATGAACCAGCCGTTACACTTGAGTGCACTCCCACCCGCTCTGACTGGGTTCGGTATCCCGGCTGCTTCGTTTCGAGGGAGGTAAACCCGAGTATAAAATATTGCACTTTTGATTTGCGATTATACGCTTATAATTTTGTTTATTTGTTTTTTCATAATCAGCAATGCATAATATATGTCATGAAGAAGTGATAATTGTGTTTTAATTATGTTTGATTTTTTGGTTGCAAGTGACCTTTAACAAGCTTTCATCAAAGTCAACATTTCATCAGTCAAAATTACTTCAAGGTTAAAAGTTGATCAAAGTCAGAATATGAATATATCAAGAAAACATTGACTTTTCATCATCTACAGTTGTGTTTATTGCTAAGCTGCATTCATGTACTGAAATAAAATTACGTAAAGATTTGGGGTAACAATTGTCTTCACTGTTGTAGCAAAAATAACTGGGTGGCAATTGTCCCAGGTGGCAATTGTCCTGCTCCCATAATAGACATATATATGAGACCATAGGCATGGCAGCTTCAGTATTTCCTCTACTGAGGTTCATGAAGCTGTAGTCAATGGTTTAATCACCCATGAATCTTCATGACTTATATGTATACAACCTGATATCACAGTAAACATTTATGGCACTGCGATTTACAGTTAGTATGGTTGGTGAAAAGGCGTTGAAAACAGTATTGTTGGTGTAAAACATTGTGTTAGCTTAATGTGAAAAAAAACTGTGAAGATCCGGGTTAGAATTGGTCTTCAGCCAATGCTAACTGGATTGGGTGGTCAGGCGCACTGACCTGGTTGGCACATGTCATCGTATCCCAATTGTGTAGATCGATGCTATTGCTGTTGATCACTGGATTGTTTGGTTCCAACTCGATTATTTACAGACCGCCGCTATATATAGCTGGAATATTGCTGAGTGAACATTAAATAACAAACAAACTAATGGTAAAGTGATACATGTCTAAGATTCCTCAGGCGAAAGGACCATTAACAATGCTGCAGATGTTGGTTGAGAATTTGAAATATGAAAAAGTGTAATTCACAATCTTATATGAATATATATAATGTCATAGTTACCAATCTTGTCAAACACAAGTCTTCCTACGTGAAACGTAACAACAAATGACTGCGACCAAGGAATAAGTTTGCTTGACTTGTAAATGCAGCGTTTTCCGTGACCCTTCTTACATGTACCACTGAAATACAAAAAGCTGGAAAAGAAAAACAACAACATGTTAATAAACAGTTTTTATAGTTAATGGTTAATTGAAGGTTAAGACTAAATAATGCTTATAGCATAATGTATGGGTATCGATTATGCTAGGGAAAATGCTGGTACTTGTCTTGGATGCTCGTTAGTTTGTGCCAGTCTGTCTGTCTAGTTGTGTGTTTGTTTGTGTGTCTGTCTGTGTGTCTTTCAGTTCGTGAGTTTGTTTGTCCTGGAATATAAAGTGGTCGGTTTGGGGTTTTAAAAAACACTTACTCTTTTGAACCCGAAGCATAAATTACTCTTCTCCGTTTTTTAGCCCGAAACATCCTTCACTCTCCCACGTTTTCGAGGCCGGAAAATAATTTACTCTTCCACATGTATTTGAGCTCGAAACATCATTTACTCTTCAATATGTATTTGAGCTCGAAATATCATTTACTCTTTCATATGTTTTTGGGTCCGAAACATCATTTATGCTTCCAAGTAAATTTGGGCCCGAAACATCATTTACTCTTCAACATATAGTTGAGCTCGAAACATGATTTACATCTTCCACATGTATTTGAGCTCGAAACATCATTTACTCTTCCATATGTATTTGAGCTCGAAACATCATTCTCTTCCATATGCATTTGAGCTGGAACATCATTTACTCTTCCACGTATAGTTGAGCTCGAAACATCATTTACTCTTCCACATATAGTTGAGCTCGAAACATCATTTACTCTTCTACATGTAGTTGAGCTCGAAACATCATTTACTCTTCCACATCATCAATACATTGTTTGTATACAATGGACAGTGTTTAAATTTGTTTATTTACTTGACGAGCAATTACGTTTTCAGCTTTAATTAAACCCTTACAGCTTAGCAGCCAGCCCTTGTCTCCCGGTGTTGACAGGAAAAGTAATGATGGGTGTTGCCTATGCACTTACTTGCTGATTGGGTCTTCAGTTATGGTGTTGCTGAGATCGAAGATGGTAGTGTTCGTCTTGAAAGGAGGATTCTTTTCCTCACACCTTCCATTCCTGATTTCAATTACTTTAACTTGAGATTGACGTACATCGCCAGAATGAAAGTTGTTTAGGATGAATACAAAAGAATCAGAAACTGCTATAGAAATCCATCCCGTGCCTGTTTGTTGTGCAGCTAAAAGAAATGACATGCCACGTGAATATTTTTCATGTCTCAGGACATTTACCCACAAATCATCACATCTAAGATCACATCAGGTTTAACGTGGACTCTTCGTTCAGCATGCACTAAACACCTCAACCATTGGTGCAGTTAAATTTGTGCACGTGACTTTTATTTATACTCCAAACACTTATAGTATTAGCAGGCAAGTAACATATAAAATACACGAGTACTTTTAGTTATTCAACATCGAACTCAAGAATTGTTTATATAATTTGTAAATTATGTTTGTAAGATTGTAACCTGAATGTCCTTTGTTGATTTTTTTAAAAGTCTGCAAAATGTTTTTTAAAAACAATAAAATCATAAAGAAGAATACTCAAACTGTCACAGGTTGATTTGTACACGTAGCACAGCGCCCCTGGCACATATCACAAAGCAATTTTGTCCCTAACAGCTTGCCATACTGATGAGCTGGCTGCCAGCAGGTACATCCTGGGCTCTGGCAGATGCAGATGCTGCTCCTGCGTTCTGTGCAGACAGGTTATATAAAAGCTGCATGTGCCATGAGTTCCTTAAATAATAGACAATCCAGTGATTGATAGTACGAGCATCGTTCCGCGACAGTTATGTCACCGAGCATGCCAAACCGCTCCTTCAAGTCGAAGTGTACGACAAGCACCTGTTGCTTGGGGGGTCTATTATAACCCAGAGTCCCGCGTGCTTCAATAGTGGGATTCAATTACATGGATACAGTTACGAGTTTCAGTTGGGAGAGAACACGAATGACCTAGAGGCCAATGGCACCCGATCAGTGGTGCAGATTTGCGTCCCTTCGACACGTTAGGAACCGCTAAATCAGATTCGAATCCCGTATTCGACCATCTTGGGGTGTTTACCTCATACCCATGCTGGAGTATTTTCTGATTTACCTCCCTCGACGGGTTAGGGAGCGCTAAATCTTGGGCTGTCATCACTAGGACTGCGTTACTGGTATACCTGTATAGCGCAATACAGCTTTCAGACGATACGCATAGCAATTTTGTTTTCTCAGAACCGATATATTGGGTAATAAAAATACATGAAGTTTTGTGATTATATCTATGGTTGAAGTTTCCATTGTAATTAATTTACGAAAACAGTATACTTTTACATACAACCAAAAGAAAATACAATCCCTCAAAATCAAATATAAATTCGAGGTTTCAACAAGTTTAAGGGAAATAGGCTCTGCATGTACAATCACTGTCACTCGCTGTCAAACACTGAAGATCCTATTATATCGCTATACGTATCGGAATACAGGTACCAGAATCGCAATATATCGCAATACAATCTATTTGCCAATACACAGCCCTAGTCATCACATAGCAAGCTGACACAACCTTATTCAACATGGATTCACGGTTTACGAAAAGAGGGGTAAATTCACAGATCAGACAATTCTGTTTGAAAAGGTTATCAATTTTTGGGGACGATGGATATAAGGTCACCGCCTTATGTGTTTCCGAACCTGAGTAAGTAATACCACGTATTGATGTCAATCAAAGTCCATATGGACAATACAGCCGCCTGGCTACATGAGCAAAACTTTAAGAATGTAATTTGTTATCTCGATAAGAATGATCAGAAACAGGTTTCTTTTTGAGAAACAAAATTTTCAATTAGATGATGCTCAATTCTTGAGCAGCGACCTGTGCTAGCGTGCTGTTTGTTGCAGTAAGTATATTATTTAACTGAATTGCAATATGTTCTAAGCCATAGACTGAAAACCTGGACTTAACCAAATAAAGAAGATAATTTTCAACGTGGTCTCCTTTCATTGATTCACATTCCCCCAACCATGTTGGATACCTTGAAGATCCGTGTTAGAATTGACAGCATCCAAACTGTCTTAAGCGCCGGCGTTAAACAGCATCCAAACTTTATTTCCCGTCTTTTTCTGTGTTAGGTTCAGAACTAATGAGTCAACCCTCGTGATTGTGCCAAGTCTTGAGGACATACACTACAACCCTCGTGGTAGTACCAAGACATACACTACACACCTTACACACTCTGGAACCAATTAAACCTGTAAGTGATTAAAAACAAATGTTTTCATTGCATGGCGCCATACTGATGGAAAATTATATTTCACTACGATAGATGTGGAAATCAATCAAATTTGCATATGATAGGATATTTGATCCAATTATAATAATATTGCTACACAAAATATTAAAAACTACAACAACATATTTACTTTTTTCACCACAAAAGTTCTTGAGCGTCAGAGTTTCCAAAGAGATACATTTCAACTCATTAGTAAACAGCAGTACTAGCAGACACTTGAACAGCGGGAAGTTGATCATTTCCTTGATTAGTCCCGGAAATGTTTGTTGTTTCACAGGTTCTGAGTCGGCATTCGGCCCACATCTCAACAGTTTGAAACTGTATCTAGCTAACTGTACAATATATATCGTGGGGATTCTGATGTCTGAAATAAATACATGATACAATCAGAGATATATCAGAGTCAAGCAGTATATACATATATCTATATATATATCATGTCTATATCTCACTCTCTACCTGGGGACGTCGGGTATCCTAGTGGTTAAAGCGTTTGCTTGTCACGCCGAAGACCTGGGTTCGATTCCCCACATGGGTACAAAGTGTGAAGCCCATTTCTGGTGTCCACCGCCGTGATATTGCTGGTTATTGCTAAAAGCGGCGTAAAACCATACTCACTCACTCACTCAACTTGGGAATCCACACGCAGCATTATTGTTGCAAGCGCCACATAAAATGCTTGTTTATTTTGTTCAGAGAGTCATATCATTTGTTATCTGAACAGAGCATCCTTCAACTCCTGTTTTACAGATCAAACGTATATCTCGATATTAGTACAACAGTACTAGTTTGGGAAGGAATGTCTTTGCTCAGGTAAAGTTGGAGATGTTATCAAAAATATGCAATCAAAACATTAAATGAGTTCACAGTTATACGTTTCTGCGAAGGAAAATTCCAAAGTGACGTTTCTTTTGCTGCTTAGTATATATCTCTATGCATCTATATGTAGGTAACCATTAATACTTAGAAATGGTAGTGCAAGGGTGTTTGGCCAACTGCAAGATACTTTGGATTGAATTTGTATTCAGTTTTAATTACGAAAATAATATCTTAAAATTCATTGTTTAGTTTCACGATGTATTTACCTATGGGTCTGACACATCTGTATACTGAAGCTCTGGAGGTTATACATCCAGCCAGGTAGCGGCAAGTTTCTCCCCCACAGGCAGCTGGATCCTTAAAAATAATTGTTTCTGAATATGACTTCTTTGATGGGCATTTTTAGAAGTTGGGTTGATAAAGAATGATGACAAATTTATGGATATACAACTTCTTTTATTCTGTGAAGGGCGACGTTTCCACATAGATTCTAATGTCGTTCTAATTGACATCACTTGCTTGACAACGACATTAGAATCTATGTCGAAACGTCGCCCTTCATATAATAAAATAAGTTGTGTATCCATAAAAATTGTTATCATTCTCCTTGATATGAGCGACAAAATCATTTTCGCATTCATAAGAATCCCGTGCGTAATATCCGTTGTACATTTCCGACTACACTATTAGCATGTGTAGAATCAAGTAGTGGTTATTATTATGTTTTACAGATTAAGACGAAATGAAGCAGAGAGGGTTCGGGTGATCCTGGCACAGTCAGTCTGGTAAGGTTCATCATCGGCTCAGAGCCCTCGCCCTCTCTACACGCAGCCCAGACAGCGAATGGGACTTCTCCCAGGAAACGCTGCCTGGTCGAACCCACCAAGAACTTTCCGGAGAATATGAAGGCTCTCCAACACTGCAGCCTTCCGCATTACCCGGAGCGTCAGAAGGGCTGTGCTCCCGGTGGAGCGGAGAACCCGGGCACTCTCCTGATCTGCGCTACGAGATCAGGACGTACCAACCCTATGCAGGTCTGGCAGAATCAATTCAATTTTGTCGTGTGGTGTGCGACAACTGGATGTGGTTTGACACTGACGGACACTAGGCGTAATGAGCTAAGTAAATCCGTTTTCACTTTTCACGTGTATTACCAGGTAAGGCGTATCCTCAACGAAATCAGCGCCCCAGTCCCACAGGACAAGGCATGGGATGCAGTAAACAATCCGTACGATTGACGTGCGTATGAACGTATTTGTAATGAATTCGAACTAGACCCAAAGACGGATTGGCGTTTGACGGGCCCAAACCATGGGTTGGGCATCCCTATCGTTCACAACATGCCCCTCGTGGAAGCCAGCAAAAAGCTAAAAGAATGGGGTGGTAAAACATATGCGAATGCTTACGTCACGAGAAACGAGTGGAGAGATGATCTCATGTCTTTCGACGACAGCAAGGATTACCGAGTATGGAGGTTCGAGCAGGGTCCGGATGACTGGAAAATATTTATGCTGGACACGTCGAAGGGTTTTACTCGTGCTGGTGTTATCAGATTGAACGATTCGATTCGAACGTACGTGTGGGCTATTCTAGGGTCTCAATCACAGACGCGTTCTAATATTATAGGTAAGTGAACGGCTTACGATTCTCAAAAACAGTTCGTGGCTAATATTGAGGACGCTATCGCATCACAAGTAGATTTACCTAGTGCTATCAAACGATATCAGGATACGTTGCAATACGCCAGGTCAAAAGTCGACTACGTGTTCGGTGTTGGATTGTACATGGCTCCGAGTGATATGCGTCTGAGAATCAATAAAATAACAGGCTATAACAATGAAATAATCATCGCCACAGCCCACCAAAAATTGGGTGTTAACGCCGACGTCAACGTCTCCCATGTACCACCACCCACGCATACTGGTGAAACGGGTATAGTGGCATCACCCCAGAGTCTAGGGTTAAGTCCACACCACACAACCCCAACAACCACGTGCAGGTGTCTAATCAGCAGCACATCGACCGTAAAACAGTGCTGGTGGTTGTTGGGATCGCGGTTGGCTTGGGTTTCATCTGGTTAAAAATTCCTTAGCGGCCACGTACACCAACCCGGCAACGGCGACGATAAACGCCCACAGGTTTTGACTGAGCCACGTGACTGTTTTCGAGAGAGTGCTAAGCAACCACGAGACGATGTTACCCAGGATACCAGGATGGCGATTTTATCCAGGGCTTCCCCTAGTGATTTCAGATGTATTTTTATCCAGTCTCTGACGTCACCACCACTCGGTGGTTTTGGTGGTGTTGGTGTTCCTCCACCACCCGTCAGCGATACGACCAGGGTCGATATGATGAAGCTCAATGCTGTCATAACGCTGGCAATGGTGATGCCTTGCTCTCGGAACAATATTCAGATCCTTTCAGCCAACGTGGTATCCTCGTTCAGTACTCCATCGATGGTTTCCCGCACGCGGCTGATCTGAGATCGAAGCTGTTCTCGATTCGAGGAAACGGATTCCAATCGGGTCTGTCTCTCGTCTTGTAAATTACGTAATCGTTCTGTGATACGACGCTTCATATCATCGTCTTCAGTTTCTGTGAGTTTGTTTTTTTCACTTGCGATGTGCTCGTCGAGTTCGTTCAGTTTACCCATGTTGTTCACGAGTTCTCCACGTACATGTTTCAAGGCTTCATCTAAGCCGTACAGTTCCCTCATTGGAAATTTAAAACCAGGCAATGGTTTGTCCCAGTACGTGCCCAACAGTTTCTCGATGCTGTCTGACGCTTCTGTAGCACGCTGTGTCATGTCACCACCACTACTGAGTTCGGACCTGGTAGCTTGCAGATCTTGAACTACCTTCGGAGGAATCTTAGGTTTTGCACCACCATAATCCTGCATGTTTAGTTTATTACGGATAAATTCGGTACCATGGCGACTGGTTAGCGTTGACAAGGCAAGTGGTTTTCTAGTGCGCGTGTTCATGATATCAACCTCCGGTTTATCCTTAAGGCGTAGAATGCCCTTATCATCTATGGTAATCTTCGAATAGTCTTTGTACTGATGCTCAATATAGTTTCTATCGTTTTTAATCCATCGTAATAATCGTCTACTGTTGTTTTCAGTAGTTGGCTGCTCAATGATGAGTCAGTAAACGAAATGTCTTCATCGTAATCAACATCAGCAGAGGTCACAGATCCAAAATCATCCATCGGAATATCATCCATATTTTGAAATTATATTATATTGATATAAATATATAACAATGTCATATGGTAGAAAACTAAATCCTTTTCGAAGATTAAGAGAACCACTAGGCGTCAAAGCCGTGCGTCAGTCGGTGACTATTACAAACAACCCCAGCAAGATAGACCAGAACCAAGTACTGTTGGTTAGATTCCCCAACTTGGGGGAGAACGACGTCATAGTACCAGGTACGGTACGATTGGCATTTAACACCACGTTGAAATCAGACAACGACAAACGTGAGCTAGTGAATAATGTGGGCCGTGCTATAGTCAAGAGGACCTCCATAAAAATTAGTGGTAACTAGGTGCTTAGCATAGACGACAGCGATGTATATTACTGTTACACAGACCTATTGAAAAGTGAGGGAGAACGCGCCAACGACGTGTACCAGGGAATCAGTAAATCGACTAGGTTACGTATCGGGTACGCCTTCACACAAGACGAGACAGCCAAATTATCGAATAGTGAAAAAGCCATCGCCGAAGCGTATGGAAACAGTTTCTGTATCCCGCTAGACTTTGAGTTGCTAACGGGGCACGCACCATTTTACCAAGCCGCATTAGGTGACACGTTGGAATATGAACTCACGTTCAGTGATTACAGCAAAGTCGTGTATACGCCGAACGGTGAAGAGGGTAGTTACGAGATCGATAACATCTCGTTGGAGTTCGACATGGTGCCTAATCCTGATCTCCCCCGGCAGATTCGAAATCAGTACTCTGGGAAAATGACCATCCTGTACGATAGGATACTGCGACATAGAATGATATTACGTGACAAGAGCGACACGGTATGGAATATCAACATGAACGTGCCGGCGCGATCGATGAAAGGTATATTAATCATACCCGTGGAGGAATACGATCCATTCGAAAGAGACAGCGAGGCATTTTTCAACCCAGGGATCACCAAAGTGGAAGTGACCATAGAGGGAGTACCTAATCAGCTATTTAGCCATGGAATGAAGGCATATCAGCAGTGGGATGAAATAATGAAGCTACCGGCTATCAAACGAAACTCAACAGTCAAAAACGTAGTCAATGACCTGGATCTATCCTCCGTGCATATCGGGCATTACCTAACCACAAAGTACGCGTTATGGTTGGATATGAGATCGACAGATGACGACACTCTACACGGTAGTGGTCGTCGAAGCGACAACGGAAGCGAGGGTATAACCATTCAAATAATGAAGAAGGCTCAACCAACTGGTAATCAAAATTATATTTACATGTAATTATGGACGCGCAACTTAATATAGAGAATGGGAGATTTGTGCAAGCAATCTATTAATTTACCACGAGATCCGCCCTGCGCCATAATATGTGGGCAGACGGGTTGTGGCAAGACAGTTTTCGTACTGGATTTGTTGGAGGGGTACTATAAAGACGTATTTGACAATATCATTATCTTATGTCCTACTATAAATATGAACAAGACTTACACGGATAGATCTTGGGTGATGACGGATCCCGATGTATATAAAATCGATCCGGGAACACACCTGCAGGACTATTTGAAAGTTTATCACAACAAATTTAAAGGGAAGCCGACGCTATTTATCCTGGATGACTGCAGCGCTAATAGAGAGATAACAAAAAAAGAGAGATATGCTGTCCTACCTAGCGTTTTCAGGTCGACAGGCAGAACATAGCGTCTGGGTGCTGACACAAAAATTCAACTCTGTGTTAAAGGATTTACGTGAACAGACGCTATCACGAAGATTTAGATAATACTCCTGCATTTTAATTGCAAAATTCATAAGTTCTAAAAGCTTGTAAATGATTAGGCATCATGACATATCTGTTAGGTATTTCCCATCTGTATTTTTGATAGTTTATGGCAGTGCAGAAATTGTTATTATAATTATCGTGTAATTAGTTTTGCAGCTATATACGAGTATTACTGGCAACCTCGTTTTCACGTAATTCAGTGTTTTGAAATCTGTTTTGGTAAGAAATCTAGCATGCTGTTTTGAGCATTATAACATGTATTGCATTCGTAAAACATCATAAGCTAGTGCCATCACATTACACTATTTGTTTAGAACACAGTTGTACTTTGTAAGAGTCAATGTCAACAACGTCGCCTGTCAGAACGATCTTGTTTACCTTTTCAAGAGTTTTTGAATTGACCGTAACTTTTTGACATTTCCTCGCTCTGAGCGTCCAGTTACGAAAACTAACTATCAGATATGGATTAATCTTACCTTGTCCTTCGACAAACTGATCATAATCCCGTGACACTCGTTAATTATCCATTCTTTGGTGAATTTGTGATCAGGGCCGAGCTACATGTTTTGGTGACGCCCGCCATTTTAACTTTGTGACAGCCAGTCTATTTCGCAACGGGGTTACCGCTACTTTTGACCCAGATTAGTGTTTTGCATTGTAAAGTTTATGTAATCTTGTGAATTACGTGGAGGAACCCAGAATTGTACTTGATGATGTATCAGGTCATGTTTCAAAGCCGATGTTAATTCTGACAACGGGAACTATGTGATTCTCACTCTTGTATTCATACGCGATGTTCAGCATCATTATTTATGAACGTGTTTTTCATAAATATGACTTCCAGTGCCACTGTCAAATTGTATATGGGGCTGAGTCATGTTTTTAAACATCTTATGTGTCAGATAAACTCCAATTGCCTCCTGACATCTCTAATCTTCCTCTTTGAATTGTCCATCATAATTCCCAGCCGATGCTGCTTGTTGATATTACGTCCCCTCAGCAGGCAGCAAGGACGTAGCAAGACGTAGAGAGACGCAATTGTTGGTCTCATGATATTGGAAGGCATTTAATGAATTAATTACACATAATTAATTGGTTGGTAAGAATAGTCATTTTCCTACCTGATTACCTCCTGAGATAATTCGCCTTCCTCTTTATTTCAGTGGTTTGGTGTTGTGAAAGTAGATCCCTCAAAAGAATAAGGACGTAACGGGACGTAATATCTCGTAATTTGATTGGTCTAGAACTGACATGTGACCATTTTCTCACACCTATAAATACGGTGAGACCCATGTTGGGTCATTCTGACTTTGGCAGTCTACAGGTCAGTTTCAAACCAAGGGCAGATAATTCAGCCCAAAAGTTCCCCTTGTCCTTACATAATTATAATAGCTGATGCTATAGATAGACTGCACTTTTCGAACACAGACACAAATTAATATCCTTGTAACTATCAAGTTATTCAGATTACCGAGATAATTAAGCCATCACTATATCTATATAACAGTAAAGTCAAAGGTCATACTTATATTGCCCTAACACTGGTCCAAGCACATAAACCTTAAGCTTGAGAGGGATCTACTTATTAGAAAGAGCATTGTGCTGAAGTACATTTATACCCATAAATAAAAAGCTATTTATTCATTGAAAAGAAGTGTTTGACTCTTCCTGAAAACAAGACTGACAAGGTTTATTAGAAGTTTGAGTCCCGGCCGCCACAGGGTAGCTCTATTTCACTGCAAGGACAGGGATTCGTTCGAGGAATGCTTGAGAGAGAACGATGTGATGAGTAAACAAGACCGGGAACGGGTTAAGAAACAGCTCGCCAAAACTAAACATGCCAAGCTCGTGTTGAAAACCGACCAACCAGTGGATTACCAAGTAATAGTTTAGTAATTTTTAGTAAATTTTAGTAATGTTTTAGTAATTTTAGTAAGTTTAAGTATAAATGTCGATTTTTGAAGTTATAGTCGTGTGTAACCTAACCTTTATCTCTCTGTATTTAGTGTGGGTTGGTTATTATTTAAAAAAAATTAAAACTAGATTACTATATTATAAAATGGATTGTGATGAATTACTAGAACAGATGTTAGTTTCAGATGAACAAAAGGACGACAAGCAGCGAGACAGACTGGTAACACTAGTTATGGGTGGAAAGGCAAAACAATATTTAGGAGATAATATAACTGCTGATAAAATTCAGAAAATGTCAGATGAAGAAATAAATAAATTATACGCCAGGTATGAGTCACAACTCGGGGCTGAGATGACAAAAGTTATAGGTTCTACTAATACCCAGATTTACACAGGTATATCATCAATATTTTTACCCATCCCACCGGAACGTCGACTCTATTTGTGGGAGGACCTAGAGAAAGACCCGTTTATTGAACACGCCTTGAGCTCTATCAGCTGCGTGCTGTACCACAAATGCGGGATGTTTTTAGCCCCGGTGACGGCGGCGATTATCACAGCAAAGCATTGTCGATTTAAAGAGGAAAAAAATAAAATAATAATATACAAGATGGATACTACCCAGGAAGAAATAACCAAGATTCCAGAGGAGGAAACACCGAAGACGGAGCCAGTGACGCATGTCACAAAGAAGAAGAAGAAAAAAGTGAGTTGAAGCTGGTAGAAAAAACGCCTTAGCCAGGCACCATAAAAAAAATTACACATTGTGGTTTACCGTAGGTGGTGTAGTAGCCACTGCTGTTGTTTCATTATTTGTTATTTAAACCAAAACAAACACAACCACAGCCATCACCAACACCCCCAGAGGAGATCAACCCTCATATTATGTTATAATTAAAATTATATTTCTATTAATATATGTTATGTCTGAGGGAAAAACATTCGTTAATGATGCATACCACGCCTTAGTGGTTTCCGGATTAGCAGTAGGATACGCTCGGTTGACTAAAATGATTATAAAACAACCGACTATAAAACTCGACTTCGACCTGCAGGATATTGCTATGCTTACTATGAATATTGGTATGGTGATGGCCACCAAGGACGTTCTGATAAAACAAGGTATTATACCTGAAAATATTTTAAAGTTATATATATAATATGGCCATAATAGCAATGATGGTTGGTGGAGCTCTTGTGAATGCCCTAGCATTTTCCGGGAGTAATTATCTATTTTCTAAATTACGAGAGTCAAACGCGGCTGAGGTAGAAGCGGTGAGAAAACGACACGATATAGCTGTAGAAAAACTGCAGACCGCACAGGCTGAATACGCTAAGAGACGCATGAAGAGATTAGATTTTATCAATAATCAACTACAACGCGAAAATCATTCTGTTAGAACTTTCAAGGACGTCGACGAAGCTATGAAAGAATACTACGTGCTAACAATTAGAACCATTAGGCAATGCACCAACGATTTCTCAGTATTACACTCCTTCCGATGGGCAAAAAGATCGTGAGTTGGTATTCGTGGCACTGGGTTTAGCATCGACAGTGTTAATTGTGAAACAATTAGACTAATTACACAAATTATTATATCAAAAATGAGATACGCACCATATCTTTGTCAATGGGTTCTTATGGGGAAAACTGAAATTTGTGGTAATAAAAGCCGCACTGAGGGTTATTGTTGTTTTCACCGTAAAGGTTATACTAACTTTACGTGTTCGGTGTGTGGTATAGGAGTTAAAGGTCATTACCGATTATGTAAAGCTCACGGCGCGGATAAATTACGATTTAAACTTATTTATGATAAGAAAAAAGACTACATCTGCGAAGTTAAACGTTTGTTAAAGATAATGGTATAAGTATATATTTTTTTTTATCACTGTGGTATGATTTGTAATTCCTTACGTACGAATCCTCTACGTGGACCGTCTTTCAAGAAGTATAGGTTAGGTTCCCCGTCTTTGGCATCCACTCGACTGATATTGTACGTTTTCATAGACCATATAGGATCTGTAAATCAGGCCATGTAAGCCGACTACGCTTGTATATTCGCTTAAACGCTTGTGCTACTCGATCTGAGTCTTTCGTGGTTAATGGTTCAGCTTCCTTGTAGCGGCTGGCTACGTCTACAAATGTCAGGGCGTACTTATAGGTTTTACCTCTCACCCTGTCGTGTGGAAGAAACAACAGGTCGGCCTGTTGAACTTTATTAGGTGTATGTATACCGAATTTTCTCCTCCCAGTTTTTCCCACACGTTTTTAGCGTGTTCGTAATCGTCTTGTGTGATAGACGCGTCAGACAGCTTGCTATAGAAGCGGTCAATGGGAGGGAACTGTGTCTCATTAAACTTAGACCAGTCATCCATATATTCATACGGGTAGATCCCCTTACGTAGCAGCAAAGCTCGAGTTTTCTCTTCTGTGTAACGATTAGTTACAGCTAAGTCGTTTGGGTTATTAGCCTTGACCAAGCTGTCTAGAGACGACAACAGAAACTGAACACTATCTATGAATCTCAACCCATTTAGCGAAAAGGATATATATCTTTCCATATTGTTTGGGATACAGGATATGTTGCCTTTTACCTTTGAAATAGCTTGCAAACAAGTGTGAATCATACCCGCGAAGATTGTGAAACACCACTGGTATATGAATAAGTTTATGATTTATTCTTAGCTTCAAGTTACATTCATTGTGAGCCGCACCTCTGTATTTACCAGTAATGTGACAGTGATCTCTAACTGAATCACCATTCAGAGGTTTACAGCACACATGACAATGTGTGCTTTTGTTGTGGGCTTCCCGGTCTGCTTGGGTCATACGCATTGGTGTTTTGTTGCATAGTTTTTTAATAATCTTTTTCTCTTCGTGTTGTAAACAATTTAGAAATTCTTCAGCCGCGTCTTGTCCTCTATAAATAACGGGAGGGTTAGTTTGACCATCACAACGAACGACCACATACCCGAACCCACACGCTTCGTGCTCTTGTACTTTTTGTGTGAAACTTTGATTAGTGGATTGAGCTACTGTATCGATTGGTTTAATGATAGTTTCGAAGTCGGCGTAGATAATATATGGTAGTGCCATTTGATTTTTGTGGTTGATAAATTTCAAGATGTTGTTTTTTTCTCTCGGCATATCTATTCGTACGGCTGTCTCACCTACACCTAGGCAATCAACCCTGTGCGAATCAAGCAGATCAGCCCTAGAAAACCCGTGAAGGCACCTTTCACAAAAGTGTTTCTTTTCCCTGTGTTTCGATTGATTGTACAACAGTCTGCTGAAATTCTTTATCCATGTGTAGTGATATTTTTCACCTTGTTGGGTCATAAATGTATTGATCATTTTACAACAATCCTTATACAATAAAGGACTTATCCTGTGTACTATTACGTTTTTACCTTCGTGTCCGAAAACGTTTATGGCTAAGTCTTGATTCTGTTGTTCTATTTTTTGGATCTGAGAGATGGGGGTGGGTTCGTCTATACCTTCCCAATTGAGCCCGTCATCTTCTGGATAACTGGAAAGTCTATCGGAATGTTTTTCAACTGGAAATTTAGCGGATCTTATCGCTATCCTCATACAATTATTGTCTCGTTTTTTAACGTTAACCATAGCTTGTTTTTTCTTGAAATACTCAGATATGGGTAAGTACGATCCACCTTTCAACGGTATATAGTTTGCTATATCCAGGTAGACCATGCTAATCTTGTCAACAACCCAACCAGAACCCATATTAGTGTAACTTTCTCGCATTTTTTCTAATGATCTGTCTATAGAAGAGTTGATAGTGTCTGGTTGCGTTGTAACTTCTTGATTACCTCTGAAGTAAACATTGGTGTATTCAGTTGTTTCATTCGACTGTTGTTTCTCTAGTGTCATGTTTAACGTAAGTTGAAATTTAATACCTCTTAAATCTTTCAGTTCTTCGTTTACTATGTCAAATACCAATGGTTTTATATCTTCAGCGTCTTTGTTTCTTTGAACTTCCATCTTCCAACCTCTAAAATATTTACCTACAGCATGCTCAGTAGGCGTGAATTGTAATTCTATAGGTTTTTGTTCTTTCAGTAATTCAGTGAGCATAGATTTCCTCATACGAGAATAACCTCGCATTCCACGTTCACGAGCTTGCTTTGTTAGTTCTTTCAAAGTAGGTGTTTTTTGATACTTAAAACCTAATAAATCTAGTAAATCATTTTTTCTCATACGAGAATAACCTTGAAGTCCACGGTCTCGGTCTCGTGCTTGCTTTTTCAATTCATGTACTGTAAACATATCATAAAGTTACAAACACAGTGTTGATATTATATGTGAAAACAATTCTCTAAATAGATAAACATCCTTCATGTTAAACATAAGATGATGTAATAGATATAGGATTGTGTAATCTAACCCGTAACATACACCTTTCATACATCGAGGGACTTGATACCATTTGGCTTCATGAAATGTGAGAAAAAACATAAACACCGTCTTCCTCGGGAGATAAAAAGTTACACTGTAAATAAAAAGTTGTCAATTTGACAACTAAAAAGTTGTCAAACGGGGGTGCCTTAGATAACAACTTGAGTTGTCAATTTGACAATGGGCAACTTTTTGACAATGCATTTGGGTTGTCAGTCACATGGTTGTATATTCATATTGTTGTCAAGAGATATTCAATTTGAATATGTTATATATTAAAAATTGGCAATGGAAAAGATGTCAATTTTCATGCATTTCGATTGTCACAATTGGACAATGGCATAATATAAACACACACAATGGCAAACAATATAAGTATCATACGGAAAGTATGACTACAATTTCAAAATACAATTCATGCATTTAAGAATAAGCATTATCTTGTGAAAACAAACATGAACACTTGTGTGGAGAACAATATCTTTTATTTCTAAACAATCAATTAGGTGTACTTTTTTTTCATAAGTATATGAACAGTGTGTGTATATGGTTGTAACCCACATATATAGATGTGTGTGTGTGTGTGCGTGCATACATGTATCTGTGTATGCATGTGTATGTATGTATGTATGTATGTATGTATGTATGTATGTATGTATGTATGTATGTATGTATGTATGTATGTATGTATGTATGTATGTATGTATGTATGTATGTATGTATGTCTGTCTGTCTGTCTGTCTTCTGTCTAGTGTGAGTATGGAACATATTTCAAGATATCACAGCATTTCTCAACTTCTACACAAAGAATGTCTAAAATTACTTTAAAATTAATTATCTAAAAAACTCATATCTAAAACTCTCGTAATTACTTTTAGACGATATGCAAGCAACATATGGTAGCTCTACAACAATACAAATACATTCATGAACAATGATTCCATTTAAACCCCTATAATTATAAGAAACAATAATAACCACTCCTATCATGCATTCATACCTGCTTTGTGATGTTCCTATTGTTTAAAATTGGATTATTCAAGCAAAACATATCTGAATTGTAGGGGATACCAGGGTCAACTGTAACAATGGTTTAGGATACTGCATTATTTCTGCCAAATCAAGCATTAATTACTTTCTCAATTACAACATTAAAATCTGCATTTGGCAATGTTGTAAGGCTCTGTTTCAAGTGCACCAAATGGATTTTCAAACAAACATTACAGATCAAACACTAGTCTGTCTCACAGTCCCTGAAAAAACCCATTTCCCTACAGCTTAGCCCTCTCTGCAATGCTAAAGCCCTAAATAAAAAAAATGTAAATGAAGCATGTCTAGATGCCTCAGGTTCTGAATCTCTGGTCTGCCGGGGTTCTTTTTCAGTTTAAATGGGTTTGTTGCTACTATCAAAATTACATATATTTAGAATCAGAGACTTAGCGTTAGTCTAATCAAACACTACGAGATGTATATACAATACTTTACTATATTCAAACTGACAAAGGGGAGTATTTCTAAAATAAAACGCTTGAGATAAAATATTTAGTCTCACAGTTATGGTCCTTGGGACAATTTCCCAATGTTACAATTGACTCCGAACTGTTCTAGTCAGCACATTCAATTTCCTGCATTTAGTTTCGAGAGCATGGAATTGACTGATTTTTCAACATTTTTGGTTTTCACGGTTTTATACCCATAAATTTGTTGTTGATTTTCAGCAAAATTTTGTCCAAGAAAAAATGGGATTTGCTGAGACCTTGGGCACATTGCAAATTATAGATGTAAAAAACTGCAAGGTAAACCTTGAGGGCATCAATACCATTGTCCATAGTGTACACTTTCTGTCCCTCAGCAAACACATGGAAAACGCAAATGTCCGTGAAGGCTTCTTCTGCAACTCCATCGCAGAGAATGAAGGATGTAATTGCAACCTATAAACTGAAATGAAATACTTGTTCTAGGCCGTGCAAAAGGTGTGCCCTTAGCCACTAAAGTTAAAGGAATAAACATATGTAAAACATACTTACATAAATATTACCTACATATAAATATTCATACCATAAATACTTATTTTCGTTTTGGATGAAAAGTACTTGAACACAAAATACTTTCTTTACAAACTTATATGATGTAGAACAACGAATTATGGATTAACATCACCTCATATTTGCTCCTATTTTTTAACAATATAACAATATCCAGTGTAACTCACTTGACAGTCCTTTACAATGAAGGTCTTCGGCTCTTCTCTTTGGAGTCTGGGAAGACCCAGGATCACTGTGGCCAGTACTGTATTGATACAAAGGATAGAGCATAACATAATTGACACTATTACCATAACTAATTGTAGGCATAACTGAACACATGCTTACACAAGGAGACTGTTGTATCACCTAATGAAAAATATATCAGGTTTTCAGAAAGCTAAAATCTTTCCATTCATTGTCCAAATTACCTGGAGCATAAAATTATCCGTTCAACAAATAAAAAAGGTGTTTTTAAGGTTATATTTTCAGGGACCAACCATTCATTGGGTGTACAGCTACATTTACGCAATAGCCACTGAAACAGGAAAAAACATGCTTACCCTTTTAAGTGTTTCATCAGTTCTTGTATCCACGTCTTTTATCAAAGCTTTAACATAATCCTGGACTTTCAATGAATTTCTGATTAGGTAATAGATTCTTTCAGACACCTTTCCCAGTCCGGAGTTCATTGTCTGCGATGTTAGTCTCTGTGAGTCAAGAGTATTCTGCACAGATCTGAAATCATAAACTACTTTGTGACAACATAACAGAAAAAACCACACTTTTATTTATTTCTTTTAAATTTTGAGTGACTGTTACAAATTATACAATATGAGAAAAAACATGACTAAATATTGGATTAAAAGTTATCAACTTCATGGAATATATTCATTTTTAAACAAACAAAATCTGAGAAACTTACTCGTGCTGCTACCTTATATATCAACTTCAGTCGCTAAATGAGTCCATCTTTGAAATTAGACGTCAATGATATCATTATACTGATAAGACAGAGGATATCTGGAAACGAAAAAACAGTTCTTATTAATAGTATTATTGGCTTTACAGATACATTACAATTTGAGATTTATCATTGAAAAGGAAGTTCTTACTTTAAATTGTACAAGTTAAACATATATAACCAATTTAATGCTGATATTTTACACATAAGGGACGTAACTCTAATGGTATGACTGAGCTAGGGGAGGTAACTCTAATATATTGTCAATATGTTGTTAATGTGACAATGAAGCTTGTCAAATTTAAACCGTGTTCCTGAAAATAATGGAATAGAAAATCTATGCGATTAAACTGAGCATCTTGACATTCTAAAGCACACGTAAGTACTAAATGTTATTACTCGAAAGATATTTGTGTTATATCTGATGCTATATGGCCAGTTATTCTTCCGAATGTGTGCACAAATTTGTGGGGTGACCAGTTGAGACATTTCTTCATGATTTTCCGTTAATATTGACAATGCGAGAATCAAAACACTGTATTCGTAATCTATAGTTATCTAATGAAAGGATATTGTAAAAGTGTTTTGCATATACTTACTGTAACCACCTTTCCAGCTCACTTTGACGCTGCCGACGCGTTGCATCTCATTTACTGTGACCTTCGCTGTGAAGGACATTGGAACTGCGCATGCGCTCAATCCGTCAAGTTTGACAACCTTGTATTGTCAAAGTTTGAGAAAACTCAAAATATGACAATGCTTTGACAATAAACTATTGTCAACACATATCCTGTGTAAAACGCGTGGTTAAACTATAAACATGATCGTCAACACTATCTAAATATCATATCTAATGAATGTTTGTTTTAAAGCAATCAGTATAAGACTCGCAATGTTGTCACAATAACAACATGGGTTGTCATACTGACAACTCTCAATGTTCAAACTGACAACTTATAATTGTCAAAGCAATAATGACAACGCTAAAATTGTCAAATTGACAACGTTTTATTTACAGTGTATATGTTTACAAATTAATATGATACTTATTGATTCCATGCCCGTACCACATAGTCTTCCTCTTTTGAATAAGAACATATCTACTTTTTACAGGTGAGGTGAAAAGTAGTTATGTTATGGAATAGATACTTATTGATTGCTTGCCTTATATAGGATGACCCCATATACCATAGTCTTACTCTAAAGAGTAAGACTATGGTTACTTTTTACAGGGGAGATAAAAAGTAGTTGTGTAATGGGTTTATGGTCCCGTACCACATAGTCTTTAGAGTAAGACTGTGGCTACTTTTTACAGGGGAGATGAAAAGTAGTTGTGTTATGGATTTATAAATTAATATGAGTTAGGAATAGATACTTATTGATTCCTTGCCTTATATAGGCTGGTCCCGTACCCCCATTGTTTATACTACTCATTTTGGCGATTGTGAGTGGGGAGTGACTGGTCCTGGGCAGCAAAAAAGAAGCCCTCCGTTTTTTAAATATGCCACATTTCTGTAACGCCCTATTTGAACTACTTCTAGATCACTCTAAGGCGCTTCACAAGTTGATTTTTCTATCGAGTATTGGATGTCAGTCTCAAACGGCACATTGTATTATCAATCTCAACTCCCTGGGGATGATACAACTCTTACAGCCACTAGGCGCACCGGGTTAATGTGGCTTCCCCATCTTTACGAGGTACCCATTCACAGCTGGGTGGACTGGGACACATAGTAACAGTACTTTGTTTACTGCACGTTGCTGTACCCGCAACTAGGTATTTGCACGTATTCACGTGACCACCATCTGGTCCTTTACCAACAGATTCGTGGGTGCTTTAAAGTGCACTGGGTTGTGCACTGTACACTAGGGGTTGTGACAACACTGAAAGAGTCTGCACACAAAGCTGACTTCAGGGTTTTTACACCCGGTCACAGGTGGGCTCGATTCTCGACACCTCAAGCTCGCTGGATCACTAGCCTGGCGCCTTAGACAGCTCGCCCACCACGCCCAAATTAGTAATGATGTTCGTCTTCAGGTAAAGCTTATTCTGCCTCAGTGATGGTATCTGTCACGCATACACGCAAGGGCACGTCAATGACAAAACAAATCTCGGGAACATGGGTTTTGTTTCTGGCATAATACTGGTCACAGCTGCGTCTAGTTTGGAAGTGTCCTTGACATGTCTACTGTGCCTCGAATGCAGTAACCATGATTAACAACGTTTAAGCATTATTCATTGATGCCTTTGTAGAAAGAACGTGCTCGACTGCCTAGCGGCCTTACTGACAACCTTTCTAGTCATCCAATGAGTGCGTGAGTTTAGTTTTACGCCGCACTCTGCAATATTCCAGCTATATGGCGGCGGTCTGTAAATTATCCAGTATGGACCAGACAATCCAGTGATCAACAGCATGAGCATCGATGTACACAATTCGACACGATGACATGTGTCAAGTAAGTCAACCAAGCCATAGTAAACCAATGAGAAGAACCATTACGAACAAATGTCTGTTGATAATTATTATTAGAAAATTTGTTCCTAATGGTTCTTCTCATTGGTTTACAGGTAATTATTCTCTGTTTGTGAGATAGTTGTTTGAACTAACGACAATGACTGAAAAAATACATTCTTTCCCGAAATATGAGCAATGCTGTAGTCAAATCGGCTGTTTCCATCAAAGTAATTGTGATTTGAAAAGTTTGATTGACATAAGACATGGTAGATATAACCAATTTGTGAAGCTTATAGTTATTTCCGTAATACACTTATTGGTAAATACATCAATACTACCTCTCAACATAACTTTAATTCTATAATCGCTTCTCATAATTATGATATTTTGCATAACACTTCAATCTTTTTATTTAAAGCACAACAAATAAGGCAAAGAAATATATAATATATTCATATCATGCATTTGTACTGTTTTATGCTATGAAATGTATGTAAATATGTATTATGCACAGGGATATTTTGTAACCCTATATTGTCTGTATTTTGGGCCAAAGGCCTTATACTGAATAAATCTGTCTGTCTGTCTGTCTGTATAACCAATCAGAAGAAACATTAGGAAGAGGCTGTTAGCAATTACCTGTTTGTTAGACAGTTGTTTGAAACTTGAGTAACGGGTGACTGGTTCAGTGATGGAACATCCCAGTGAGTCAGGGGAAAACCAGAACATTTCACATCCACCGCTTTTATCACACCAGGCACGGCACATGGCGACACCATATGGACGTCTTGTGTAGACATGATTCGTACTCCTGGAGACGGCGTTTGCACTCGCTCTTTGACAATTCAGCCACAAAATAATGTTTAAAAAATTGAACCTAATTTGTCTGTAAGAAAACATCATAACCCCGCTTCAGATCGGACGTATTGAATGAAGCTTCTAATGTCTTGACATTTCTAGTTTAAATTTCTCTAGGCGGAAGTGATGAACCTGTTTCATTCAGCTTGTAGCTCACCTCTTTGAACTCCATATCGAAGAAGGAGTAGTGAGTGAGCGGCAATATTCCAGCAGGATCACGACGGGGGACACCAGAAATGAGCTCCACTCCGTGTGTTATCGAACTGTGCCCTCAGCGTGACGAGCAAACGCTTTAACCACCGCTATTGCTGAAGGAAGGAGAACTTTTCAACAAGAATGATCCATATTTTGTCTTGTTGTTTTACCAGCCTGATCACGGTCCTGCCACATAATGTTCACCTTGGTTACCGCTGCATTTGCTTAATGGATGTCATATGCCAGTGATCAGTAGTCCGATTACATGTACTTCAAGGCTGCCTGCAAACAGCAATGGAAACATTTGAATGATATCGTGGGGACTGTACAATACATCACTGAGATGACACCAAATCAACTATCTTGAATACCTGATCCATGAAACACCCCTTACGACAAGATGGCAATGCTTCCTGGGGACGCACCATGACATGGAATCCCCATGGCGTGGCCCAAGCTTGTTCAGCCAGATATAAATAATGTCATGTTCATAAAATGATGCTTTTGGATATGGTTGTTTATCCCCGAGAGCTTTAATCTGACAAGTGTCAAAGATATATACATATTAATTGGAAATCTATGCAGACATCGAGAAGTACAGGGTTTATTACTTATTCAGATATTCTAGACAATTCTGTCAGAAATGCATAGATCTTGCTGTATCTACTTCTTTGGATCTTAAAATGATAAAACGTGAAACACAGGAACTTCTTCCTGCAACTGGCCCCCAGGGGCGATTACTTTGTGATGTGTCTACAAAGTACAATTGATTCCTGTGACAAATGCTAACATAAATGATTTAGATTACACTTTTTCAAAGTGTATTTTTGTTATCATTACAAAGCATATAAATTGCTTCTGCAGGTTGAAGGTAAATCTAACTCAGTGTGTATTGAATAGCTTCGTTTTGGATCCAATTCAGTGGTACTAAAAACGTCCCTCAAGATTTTACTTATGTGCAAGAGAAAATCGGCACGACGAAGATGAGGAAGTCTGAATTTAAATGATGATAATAGTTAAATACGACAAAACCCTTCCACATTAAGATGAATCTCGACTGCAGAAAAAACGGTGCGCGTATCCTGTCCTACGTCTAGAACCCATCACAAACTCATGCAAAGGCTAATCAATTGTTCAACTGAGAAATATACGGGAACAAACCCGTTGAGTTGAATAACATTGTATGAAATCTCTGCAGAAAGAACAAGTGCCACAGTCGCCATGACTGACATGCAGTTTAGCCATATCTTTGTACAATTTAAACATCATCCGTCCTAAGCTTTTTACAAAGCCTTCCTTTTCAAGGGGTAGTTTCATGCATTTTGTGAATGAAAGGGAATCGTGCTGGCACCAACATTGCGCTTCTAGACCAATTTCCACGTTTACAGACTCACAAGCAATCGACATGGAATCACCTGAACACATCTGGATGCATTTGCCTGAATCATACCCTTAATGCATACTCGAAACTCCATGAGTTTGAAACAGCATCAAGCACTATAGTACTGTCGGAAATAGAAAAAAACTGTATTTTCTCATTTATCTCTACAATTTATGTAGTTGATATGTGCAAGTGTGAAGTATCTCTTCAACTAAGTTCGGCCTAACTACAGTCTCAATGGTAGGGACACAAGAAACGTAGAAAAAGGACTTTACTGAGGAGAGATTACTGCAGAAATGAGCAATGCGATTTTTTTCTAAGTCCAAAACGAATTATTTGGAACAGACCATGGCTGTATGCAAATTAGTGTGCGACGATATCGTATTATAAAGGACACTTTTTAAGTGAACAATTTGAAATTAGACGTTGCTTCATTATAAACGATAGCTGGCGTAAAAAATAATAACTTTCATGCTGAAACTATTAAGGATGTAGCTACCATGGAGTCTCACTGTCACTATAAAAAGAAACAGATAGGAGGGTTCGTCTCAAAAGCAAAACCTGGACGGGTGTCGCAGACGATCGTTGGGGTCGGGCTTGGGGATAGAGATATCAGCTGAGATACGATAATCCTTTAGGGCAATTATACTGGGGAAGTACACGGCATTTCATAACAATTTACAAATAATATCCAGTCCTGTCGATCCTAGCGATCGGGTGGTCATACACCACTTATATATTTTGAGACATTTAACACGATGCGTTTCTATGGTTATCAGGTATCAAACTCTTTTACATATCTCAACATAAACTTTATGAAAGAAAGACACTTAAGCTGTTAATCAATAGATGAGGCATAGTCAACACACATGAAAAAGCACAAAATATCTTTGAGATGACCCCTTGGGCGCCTGTAGGCAGCACATACATTTCATGCCAGGTGAGTCGACGGTCCGTCGTCATACCTTGCTGAGCGACCTAATTGCCATCTATAGTCTGATCTATTGTTTTCAGCAGCTATTCGTATTTTTTCTAAGTTTTGCCCGATTTTACGAGTAAACATGCTTTTCTGGATATCCTATTACGCATCCCACTGAATGCCAAGTTAGGCCGAAGTGGGTTATTTCGACATATGCTATTTGCAGTTGTGTAAATTTTAGGGATACAGAGTAAGAGCCTAAAAACAATTTTTTTGTATTTCCGACAGTACTTTTAGGTGTTTTCATGTCACCCGGTCATGTGATGGTTCCGGGCTAAACTTAGATCTTAAAGCCCATGGCTGTCATGTCTGGCTCACATGCACGTGGTTTTGCTCACGTTCTCTTGAACAAGCATTGTGATTTCGGACTAAACAAAACCCAATTGGGATACCCAATGACATAAATTATATTTACCTGTAGGTAAAGGTTAATGAGTGAGTGAGTTTAATTTTACGCCGCACTCAGCAATATTCCCGCTATATTGCGGCGGTCTGTAAATGCAAAAAGTCTGGACCAGACAATCCAGTGATCAACAGCATGAACATCGATCTGCGCAATTGGGAACCGATGACATGTGTCAACCAAGTCAGCGAGCCTGACCACCCGATCCCGTTAGTCGCCTCTTACGAAAAGCAATATTCTAACCCGGACCTTCACGGGTAGGTAAAGGTTAGTAATGCTTACTGGTAACAATGAGTTTTATATTCTATCCCGATTGGAGACAACCTCCTCTCTCTCTATATTCTGTGATTATAATACACAACAGGCAATTAAGAAATACAGTTCGCTCTACCACCATGTATAGTGTAATAAAGCACACTTTCTCCCTGAACTATTATAGTTAAAGAACGAGGCCGCTTGCGTCCGAGTGCTTTAACGTTATAATATTTGAACTGTATTTCTTTTCTAAGATGCCAAATGTAATACTTTCTAAGGATAATTACGATTAATTTAAGGCAGAAAACAAACGACGGGGCTTGCTTCGACCACACCCCCGTTGTGTGCGGTTATATCGTCATCCATTTTGTCAAGATCGTTTAGTTGAGAGTCAAAATCGGGTTTCAATCGACTTGCAGAAATATCAATAAAGAATTGATAGGTGTCATGAGTGGTTCTCGATAGGCCAATCATCCATGATTATGTTTACATTAAGTTTTAATCGATTGCATGCGATGGTAGCGTAGCCATTGGCAAAGCAGTCGGGTGGGGTGCATCGAAGTGTCCGGCCTTGTAATGGTGTATATGTACTGTGAAGCATTTCGAGTCGGGGGTCATCTCAAAAACAATATTTTATAAATCTTTAATCCTCGCAAAGACACGAGGGCCTGTGGTTAGAACTGGTCTTCAGCAACCCATGCTTGTCGTAAGAGGCGACTGACGGGATCTGGTGGTCAGGTTCGCTGACTTGGTTGACACATGTCATCGTATCTCAACTGCGTAGATCGATGCTCATGCTGTTGATCACTGAATTATCTGGTCCAGACTGGATTATTTACAGACCGCTGCCATATAGCTGGAATATTGCAGAGTGCGGCGTTAACCAACCAACAATTGTGAACCAGTGTTCACGTTATACTTTGACAATACCCTTAGCGGCCGCAATCGGCTCACACCCGAATATTCACTGAACGATGGTGTTTCATCTGTAATTGTATCTTTTGGGAAGTTCACTGTCAAGCATATGCTGCTTTACTCTTTGGACTTTGTTCAGATTTGCGTTGCTTTCACTAATGTCATCCTAGTGTCTTTAACTCGCATTTTTCTAGGGGCGGTTGGGTAACCTACTGGTTAAAGCGTTCCTTCGTCGCCGAAGACACGGGTTCGATTCCCCACATGGGTACAACTTGTAAAACCCATTTCTGGTGTTCCCCGCCGTGATATTGCTGGAATATTGCTAAAATCGGCGTAATACTCAACTCACTCGTATAAAACGAATTTCAGGTTTTTTGTTATAATACGGTCGAAAGGATATTCATGCCCACATAAATGAGTTAGGTTACACGTTTTCAACAGGTAATTATGTTGCCCCCAAACGCTTATTTGATGCATTCTGTAGGTTGACGATAAAACTGACACCCGTATGTGGAGATAAGAGTTGTTTATGCTTCACAGTCTGGTGCCTACTGCTTCGTCTAGACGCTGCATTTAGTTTGGGGTCTTATTTCCTCGTACAGCGGTGTCGTTACATATGTCGGATATACTGGCGTTGAGACGTTAACTTATTCTTATTGTACGTGAGTGCTAAGCAACCCATGCTTGTCATAAGAGGCGACTTACGTAACAGAGTGATCAGGCTAGCTGACTTGGTTGACACATGTCATCGTATCCCAACTGCGTAGGTCGATGTTCATGCTGTTTATCACTGGATTGTCTGGTCCAGACGCGATTATTTGGAATAGCTGGCTTGCAGCGTTAAACATCTAACAAACAAGCAAATATTGTACTTGGATGACATGCACCAGTATGAGGGTGTTTTTGGATAAATTGAATA